CGTTTTTATTGCCCTGGCTGGTTTGGCTCAGCGATTAGAGCGTCCACGTGAGGGCCAATGAGTCGCGGGTTTGATTCCGGTCAAGGGCACATACCTCAGTTGCAGTTTGTCCCCAGTTCTGGTCGGGGTCATGTGGGAGGCAGCCATTCAGTGTGTCCCTCTCACATTGATGTTTCTTTCTCTTTCTCTCTCTCTCTCTCTCTCTCTCTCTCTCTCTCTCTCTTTTCCCCTCCCTCCCTCCCTCTCTATCTGAAGAAAAATGGAAAAATATCCTCCGGTGAGGATTTCAAAAATGTTTTTATTGATTTTTTAGAGAGAGAAATAGAAACATCTATGTGAGAGAAACATGGATTGGCTGTCTCCTGCATGCCCCCTACTGCGATTGTGCCTGCAACCCAGACATGTGCCCTGACCAGGAATCAGACTGGGACCTCTCAGAATAAGGGACAATGCTCATTCCTCTGAACCAAACTGGCTGGGCAAGAAGTCATTCGATTCTATTGTGATTGGCAAATTGGGTAAATGGTATTTAACTTCATGGAGTTATGAGGAATAATTGAAATAATATAGGTAAAAGCATTTTGTAATTATAAAGTAATTCCACAGATTTATAGTTCTTTTACATTACCACAATCGTTGTTTGTAGTGGACAGAACATTTCACAGAGAGTAAGGCTGCCTAGTTTTGCTAATTACCATTTGTATTAATATTGTGCAGGTCATTGGATCCTTTAATGCACGGGTGGGGAATGTCCAGCCTGAGGGCTGTATAAGGCCTGTAAAATCATTACCAGCTAACATCACATGCCTCACCAAATTAGCCTGACCAAATACAGCAGGCTAACTTTTAAGTTGACAATTTTGTATGGCCCTCGAATGATGTTATAAAGTATTTTTAGAGAGGAAGGGAGAGGGAGAGAGAGATAGAAACATTGATGAGAGAGAACATAGATTGGCTGCTTCCTGTATGCTCCCCACTGAGGATCTGGCCCACAACTTGGGCATGTGCCCTGACCAGGAATCGCACCAGTGACTTCCTGGTACATGGATAAATGCTCAACCACTGAGCCACACCGGCCAGGCTTGAATGATGTTATAAATATCCAAGTGGCCCCTGGCAGAAGAAAGGTTCCTCTGTAAAACAGAATTAAATGATCTTTATAATTCTGTGAAAGGAATGAGTCTGATCATTGTAGGATTCCCACCTGAAATTTCTTGTATAGATTAAGGCAGTAGGTACAGATGAGTAACTTTTTTTGTTTCATTTTTTATTTCTTTTTTTTTTTGGTTTTTTAATCCTCATCCGAGGATATGCTTTCTTATTGATTTGGGAGGGAGGGAGGGAGAGAGAGAAAGAGAAAGCGAGAGAAAGAGAAACAGAAACATTGTTTCCAGAGAGAAACATTGATTGGTAACCTTTCATATGTGGCCCAACTGGGGATTGAACCCATCACCCTTTGGTGTACATGGCAGTCCAGCCCACTGAGCCACACTGGCCAGGGCAATAAGTAACTCTTTTAATTGAAGAAAGCATAATTTATTAACCAATTGTTTTGGGCATGCTTCCAATTTCACAATGATTCTATTGACTTAGTGTCTTAAGAAACTAGAGAATATCTACTGCCATCAGTATACCTTTTACTTACTGGCTAGCAACTCTCATAGCTTTATACAGATATTTGCTTTTTAACCAAGCTTTTAAACTTATTCTCCTATATAGGTAATCAGTATGAACATGTCATCAGTTTTCTTTTTGGTATCATCTCATAATCTGCTGTCATCCATTTCTTCTACCCTCTCCTGACTGTTCAATAGCCACATAAATGGTCTCCTTTTCACCAGAATCTGCTTCCTCTCCCTCTTTACTCATCTGTAAAATAAAGTCAAAGGAGATCATTTTTAAGGTGCTTTCTGGGCCTAACATTTTGTGATTTGTCAATTACTATTTTCATTAATTCAAACTCTATTATACCCTAAGGAACTCGTGTTTGATTACATATTAGAATTAAGTTTAAAAACTTATTTGAGGACAGTGGAACTCAAATTACATAAAGCAGAGAAGTAATGTCTGAGTCCCCTTTGCAGAGAGCTAGATGTATCAATAAATGTAAGGATTAGGCAAAATGTAGATATATGTAGCTGTATATGTTTTTTTTTTTTTAAGTTTTTCTTAGGTTTGGGAAATAAGAAAGAATCTTATAATTTTAAAGATGTTGGAAAATTTGTTTGATGCGTTTTCTTTTCCGGCAAAAGTTAAAATTACAGGGTGGGACAAAAGTAGGTTTACAGATATTTGTATGGAAAAATAATACAATAATTAATAAAGAATATTACAAGAATACTTTTGCCCCACCCTGTATTATAGAAATTGATCTATTACTATAAGAAAACTAATAGTAAAATCTAAGTGTTCAATTTAATCCATATTAGGTTGGGAACATTTGCCAGTCATGAAGTTCCCTAGACACCTAAACTTGTTTTTCCAGAAAAGAAAAATATTATTTAATAACTTTGTGTAGAAAGATGGGTGAAAGCTAAAGTAATAATTGTGTGCATAGTTGATATTAATTCTGAAGTCTTTGAAGATGTCTGTCCATCATAAAATGCCTAAGGAAAATATTAAATCCAGTTGTGCCAACATTTGCCCATGTAACATTTTTTAAACATGAAACGTCATACTCGGTTTTATTCCTAGAAGTAGAGGGATAATCATAGAAGAATCTAGAATGCAGATTTTTTGCATTCATTTGGCAAGTTTTGTTTATATGTTCTATATCCTGTTGAGAGATTGTTTTTATTGCTGACACCAAATAGGTGTCCTATAATTTAGTCCAATTCTGACACTAGCTGGAGTTAGTGTCAGATTCCACAGGTTGAAGGACTCAGTCCCACAAGGTGGCCCTAACTTAAGATGCCTGAACTTCTGTCCAAGTGGAGGGGGTCAGGGTCTATGAATATATGATTACTCAGAAAGTGAGTTATTATTATATTGCTCTTTGATTTGCCATATTACCTTTTCTGTTCTTCCTTTCTTCCTTATTTTCTGTGATCATTTACTATTTCTGCTAGTTAGAGGTTAGTAACAAAGACAAGGCAGTAAGTGCTTTCTTTTGAGTGTTTGGGGTAGAATATAATTCATGTCCTCTTTCCTTCCGTCCCACTATCTTTTCTTCTTTCCTAGCTACCCATACTTTTTAAATTTTTTATTTATTTATTTTTAAAAAATTTTTATCCTCACCTGAGAACATTTTTTGTCCTCACCTGAATATTTTTGTTCAGACAGAGTGGGAGGGAGAGGGAGAGAGAAACATCAACATGAAAGGGACACATCGAGTGGCCGCCTCCCGCACAACCCCAGCCAGAGCCGGGGACGAATCACAACTGAGGCATGTGCCCATGACCGGAATTGAACCCACGATTCATTGGTCCCTGGACCGATGCTCTAAGCGCTGAGCCAAACTGGCCAGGGCACTTTTTAAGTTTTTTTAAAATATATATATATATGTATATATATATTTTGTTCAGATAGAGTGGGAGGGAGAGAGAGAGAGAAACATTGATGTGAAAGGGATACATCGAGTGGTCACCACCCACACGACCCAACCAGGGCCAGGTCCAAACTACAACCGAGGTACGTGCCCTTAGCAGCAACCGAACACAGGTCTCTCCAGACCCTCAGGCCAATGCTCTAACCGCTGAGCCAAACCGGCCAGGGCACCTTTTAAGTTTTTTAAAGCTGCTTCTGTATGCCAGAGGATACAAGCCCTCATGGAGTTTTCCTTCAAATTAACCTCTTTTCTAGGAAATGACATCTGAATTTTCATATGAGATGAGTCTTAAACGTTGAAGTGTGAAGAGGACCAAGTGTGGCCGTCTTATATTATTAAAAAAAAAATTTAATTAGAGCCCTATTTTATTTAGCATAATTTTATAATCTTTTAGATAGTTTTTAGTAACTCACTATTTTAGTAGTTATAGTCTTAACATGGAGGTGTTTAACTATTGTAACCAATTTCTTTCATCTCTTCTGTAGATAAACAGCATTTTTTTCTTTTTGGTTCTGCTAAAGTGAACTTGGAATATGTACTTCATTAAGGAATGATGAGTGTTTTCAATTAATAAGCACTTTATTACAAAAATTACTTGACCTAATTATCAATCTTTAATATTGATTACACAGCCCTGGCTGGTTTTGCTCAGCGGTTAGAACGTTGGCCCGCGGACCAGAGAGGCCCAGGTTCGGTTGCCTCTAAGGGCATGTACCTCCGTTGCACTTTGTTCCCAGCCCCATTTGGGTCATGGGGGTGGCAAGCCACTTGATGTCTCTCTCTCACATTGATGTTTCTCTCTTCCTTCCTGACTCCCTCCCGCTCTATCTCAAGATAAATGCAAAAATGTCCTCAGATGAGGATAAAAAAATAAAAAAATGTATTGATTACATATATTGAAGATCTTTAGATGAGTTTTAAAATGATAAAACTTGTCCTAAAAGACAGTAATGTGTTATGCACTATTATTTTTTATTAACTGAAAAATTATGTCCTTTCTGACCATATTTGATTCATTTTTTTATATGTTGAATTTTATGCTCCTTATACAAAAACATAGAAAACAAATATTCTATGAAATTCTTTACTGCATGTCAGGTCCAATACTACTTGCCCTGGTGTCTTCTATTTAAAATAACTTAAATCTTAGAAATTTTGAGTGAAAGATGCCATTTTGACGAGGGTAGAGAAGAGATAATGCTTACGCTATTTAAAACCAGCCTTTATGAAATGATGCTATCATTGGATGAATTAACACCTTTTTTTTCCTATAGAGAGCTGGAAATAAGACAATGGCTTTATAACTTTGACTATTTTAATCAGTATAAACTGGTTTTTGTTTTTATAAATAAATGTATTTTTAAAATTTCTCAGAGAGGAAAGAAAAACACTTGATTAGTCAATGTGTATTTTGATTTACATTGAATACTTTTTATGATTTCTTCCAAAACAGACACTCCTTGAATATGCAGAGAAATGGAAAACTTCAGAAGATCCCTTACCTTTATTGGAGGTATACACAGTGGCTATCCAAAGTTATGTTAAAGCCCGACCTTATCTTACCTCTGAATGTGAAAATGTAGCATTGGTTCTGGAACGCTTGGCATTGTGAGTAAACCTTTGAGTAAATAAAAAATTAGATTTAGCTTTTTTGTTTTAACTTTGTATCTTAGCTCTTATGATAGTTTAATCTTAAATAGATTGGTTATGGGACATCTACTGATAATGTTAGAATTATTCATTTTATTTTACTTCAAACTTTAATAATTATTTGTATGTTTACCAATTTTTTGTTTTTTAGAAGCTGTGTTGAACTTCTACTGTGTCTGCCTGGTGAGTTACCAGACAAACAGTGGAAACAATTTCAGACACTGGTGCAGGTGAGAATATTTACCTATTAGTTTTAATATAGGTACATTTTAAGTTAGTTTTCTTTATTCTTAAATTATTGGGTTAAACTTTAAAACTAAGTAATGATAAACTTTAATTGCTGTTGTTAACTAGTGTCTTGCATGTAGTAAATGTTCAATAACTGATTAATAAGTGAATATATATATTTAGATAGTTTGGTTTAATGTACTGTTCTTTAAGATCAGATAATTAAAGACTTTGCCAGAGCAGTAAGGGAACATAAAAGAAAATGTCCTCTTTAAAATGTCCTCTTTTGTATTTAGAAATAGTTTAAATAATGTTGAAAATCTTCAATATGCTTTATAAGAATTTAATATATCTCATTTAATTTTTATGAAAACTTTGTGGGGGTAGGTATGTTTTTCCCATTTTAAAGGTGAGGAAACTGAGGCTCATACTCTAAAATATTTATTTGCCCTTACTTATAATGCAGCTAATGTCACAGAGTAGTTATTTGAATCCAGGTTCCTCATTTCAAAGCATAAGCTTTTTTTTTCCTAGAGCTGAAAAAATAGGCTTTATCTTTTTTATTTAGTAATTTTATTCTACTTAGATGAGTACTACACAATTTTGCACTTAGTTATTTTGGAGCATTTTCAAGAGCTTTAAATTTTGTTTCAGGCACTAGATTGTGCTGGATATATTATAGCTTCAAGTAAATTTCGATTAATTGGTTAAAAAGAATGTTTCTGCTAGCTAGTTTTAATGTGCATAGTTGTCTCTTTCTCTAGCCAGAGTTCTTAAAATATCCTTTGGCCTTATATTTTTGTGTAGGAGACATAATAAAGAGGGTTAGTCTCAAATTTAGAGCATGTGAAATAAATTATAGTTAGAGAAATCAATTTTCCTATTTAATATTAAACATTAAACTATATCATGCAAAATTCTTGAAGGTAGGATTCATATCTTAATACCATAGGATTGTATTATGTCTTACACATAATAGACACTTACAAACTGTTTGTTGAAATGAGAGAGAGTCTTGTCCTGTTTGTCACATTGCAGCTGACTTTTTGATCATGCTGTTTCTACTTCAGCATATCATTCTTTGTGTCTTATATTTTTTCCTACTGTGTTTGTTTTTAGGTAAATGATTCAGAACTTTTCATTGTTTGGCATTCAGATGCACTCTACCAGAGAATTAAATAAGTTTATATACAACTATAATACTGAATCCCTCATGCTACTTAATTTTTTTTTTGTTTGTCAGCATAAGATAAAACTTCTAAACTTTCCTCTTTGAAACAGTAGCACTATATGAGTTAATGAGAAGGAAATAACTCTTTAAAGCCTTCTATGGTATTTAGAGATTGCTCAAAAAATTTTTCTTAAAGCACTTGAAATTGTTACAATGGGAAAGTTTTTATGGTGTTGAGGAAGAGACGTTTTGTATAAACATAGCATGTAGTTTTATGAGTTGCCATGACACTTTTCTATTGTTTTAGTGCTTCCTCATGGTTATTTTATATCTGATTAACAGCATTTGTTTCATTTGTATATTAACTGTTTAAGCATTTCTTTACCCTACTAGAGGATAAGCCCAATAAACTCAGGGACTAGTTGTTTTCTTCCTAGTACTTTGTCCATAGAAATTCTTAGTACATATTTTCTGATTTGAATAAAAAATTTTGGTCTTTTGTGGCCTAAAGAATATGCCTATTGCATGAACACTTGGAAAAAACTAATAATCAAGATTTGTGTCAGCTGTAATAGGATTTTGCCATGGGTATGTAGTGAATAAATGAAAAATCATGCATTTAGTTGTTTCCTTTTCATAAGTCTCTTATTGGAATATGTGTAAGTTGTCACTTAGGCCTTGATGCAGATCTGTCATTTATTAATGGTAGAAGTTTGGGGGGAAATTTTTTTATTAACAGAGTATGTAAAATGTGTAAGGTCCTTTATGCTATGAATATTTTGATAGCTTCCTTGAGAAATAACTTTGCTCTTGGTTTAGATTTTTGTGAATAAGTAATATGAACTTATTTACTTTAAAAATACATTGTTTTTATTTAAAATTTATCATTGATATGCTTATCCTTGAGATTTGACTATAAAAATTAGAAGTAAAGGAATTTAGCACTTTGTAATGTGACGTGAAAATATTAAGATGAAAGTCTTATTTTTCAAAAGTTTAGTATTATATTTAAAGCCTGATAAGCTTGCTTTAAAAAATCTGTTGTAATTCTTTGGATGTTTATTTAATATTTATAGGTAGCTCATGAAAAGCTGATGGAGAATGGCAGCTGTGAATTGCATTTTTTAGCTACTCTAGCTCAAGAGACTGGGGTGTGGAAAAACCCGGTACTGTGCACTATTCTTTCCCAGGAACCATTGGATAAGGATAAAGGTAAATTTTCTAGAGAGAGAGAGAAAAAAAAAATTATTAGTCAAGAAAAATAATAAGTACTTAAAATTGTTTTGATACAATTCATCTCAAAATATCCCAAACAAGGACCATTTAATTAAATTTTATCTGAGGTGCTTGAGGCCCTTCATTTTTTTATTTATTTGGGGGAAAGATGTATTTATAAGACTTTACAATCTTACCATTACAGAAAAACTTAAGTTTTTTTCCCCAACATCTTTTTAACAGAGGAATTCCCTTTACAACATCCTTACAGGTGGCAGTCCGGCTTACATTTGATAACTAAGTTACTTGACAGATGGAGATGCAGAAATAGGGTAGTTAAATTATTTTCTTCTAAATAAAATATACAATTAATGCTAAAGCACTCAAGTTTTCTGTCTCTAAGATAAGTACTATTTCTCAAGCAGCTTTTTGCTCAGTCTTATTTTATCCAACTTTGTTATTGTATGAGCTAGGCAGTAAAGATCCCAGTTAAACTCAAACTGGCTGGTATCCTGTTGGCTAAATAACTAATATGTATAACAATATTCAGAGTTCAAAAACGTGCGTATACCAAAAGAAGGTCACAGTTGTCATTTTTAATACTTTCCTTGAGATTATTTTGGAAAGTGCCCAGCTTTCACTCTAAACCTTTTCCAAGGTATTTAATCAGAGAATTAAATAAGCTGCTTCCATTGTTTGTTGCAGCTTTTCCTGTTGATTGATCACAAAGTCTATTTTGCAATGTGATAGCAAATTTTGAAGGCTCTGAGAAGGGAGTATGAAGCCCACTGCTTGTGAACTCTTCTGGTATTTTGATATTTGCTGAAAGGCTTCCCAACTAATCTCCAAACTTCCCTTCAAGCTGGTTGTTCCTTCATGATCTCCCTTCTTACCATTTTCCCATTGCTTTTCTGTTGGTTCATAGCAATGTTGTCTGTTTTCTTAATTTTCACAAGAAGTGTATTTATAGTACCCCCTTCTTCCGTGGATATCCACAGATTAGCTACAGTGTTCTCAAGACCTTAGAGAAATGGAGAGTAGATACTCACTATTTAAAATAGAACATTTCAAAGTTGAGAATCTTAGATTTTTTTTTTGCCTTTGGCATATTAGTTTTCTTTTTACTATATTAATACAAATTATACTTTCAAATGTTCTCAGCTTTTAAAAATATTGGATATAACATATTGATAATAATATCAAATTACATTGTATAGTTTCTAACTATTTGAAATGTGCTTTTATATGCATGATTTCATTTAACCTTCACAATGATCCTATGAAAAAGGTAGGCTCTTTATTGTTCAGTTTTATACATCAGAAAATGGAACTCAGAAAGGTTACTTGTCCTTTCTGCATCACATTGCCAGTGATGTGAGGCAGAGGCAGGAATTGAAATCAGATCCTTAAGTATTCTGTTTTGTAATATGCCCTGTTGCACCTCACCTATTAAAATAAAATTACCTCGCCCTGGCCAGTTTGGCTCAGCGGTTAGAGCGTCGGCCTGCGGTCCTGAGAGACCCGGGTTCGGTTCCCGCCAAGGGCACGTACTTCGGTTGCAGTTTGTCCCCGGCCCTGGTTGGTCGTGCGGGTGGCAGCCACTCGATGTGTCCCTTCACGTCGATGTTTCGCACTCTCTCTCCCTTCCTCTCTCTCCCTCCCACTCTATCTGTACAAAAAAATGGAAAAATATCCTCGGGTGAGGATAAAAAAAAATAAATAAATAAAAAAAATAAAAAATAAAATAAAATTACCTCTAGGTTAAATACAGAATTAACTCCTTGCCTTGGCCAGGTGGCTCAGTTGGTTGGAGCGTCATCCCATGCACCAAAAGTTTACAGGTTCGATTCCCTGTTGGGTCACATGCCTACAATGCAGGTTCCATCCCTGGTCAAGGCATGTACAGGAGGCAGCCAGTTGATGTTTCTCTCTCTCTTTCTCTCTTCCTCTGTCTCTAAAAAAGTAAATAAAACCATATCCTCAGTTGAGGATTTTTTTTTTAAATGAAACTAACACCTTTATTCTGTTGTCAATTTCTGAAGAGTGTTTTTGCCAAACACACATTATACTAAAGTAGGAAAATAAAACTTTTACCTTTAGCAGAGATTTAAAAGTTATTTTAAAAGGTAGGTAGTGTGCTCTATTTCCTTACTTGTTTAAATGTGCCTAACATTGTTTCTGTTAATAAATGTCTGCCCATCTCTGTGCTGCTTTATTTCATGGTCTTCACCTGACATAACCACTGAAAATAATTTTCAGCTATGCAACCAAGAGAGTTTCTGCAATAGCAGATGGATTGTAGGTAGCCAAACTTTAATATAACTCATAAAGCAACCAAAGAGATATTATATGATTAAGAGATTTTGTAGCCATAATCTTTACTTTGTTCTCTGTTATTTAGAATGCTTCTTTGATGGAATTTATTTTATGCATAATCACACAACTATTCATTTCCTTCTTTGAAAAAGTTGAAGGAATTAGCATTTTACACATGCATGCTAATTTATTTACATTTTCAAATTTGATGGTTCAAAATGAATAATAGCTTCTTATATTATATATTCAGCCCCTTGGTTTAACTTAATCGAACCTACAGCAATTTTGAAGAGAAGAGCTAGAGCTCAGAGAACAATGAGTACACATCAATCAGTAAGGCATTGCTCACTAATTTGTTTACAGTGAAGCCTTTAAGTTTTGATGTAGTATTTCAGTGATTTTCAATTGATGTGCCGCAAGAACTTTTAAAACATGCAATACCTGTTTAGTCAGGGACACTGACTTTTGCCCTTAGAATTTCAAATTTAAAAAATGACCACAGCCACCACAACAATAGCCATCTGGTGTGAATGAATCAAATTTATACCTTTTTTTTGGAGGGGGGGTCGGATTGGCAAAAAGTATATGTCTTGGTGTGCCGCAGAATTTCAGTAATTAAATTATGTGTGTCATGAGATAAAAAAAGGTTAAAAATTGCTGTAGTATTTCAACAGTAGATAATCCATTTACTCCCAAATTGTTTTCAGGTTTTTGTTTGTTTGTTTTGTCTTGACTAGTTTTGGGCCTACTAAAACCCAGCTAAACCAAGAAATGTTCTTTGGATTTAGAGGATTGAGAGTGGGCTTGACTCAAAATTTAAAATGCTGGTATTACTTTAAGATGTTAGCCTCCCAGAATAAGGTAACTCTAATAACTAAACCAACATAATCCAAATAGATAGTCTTTGAATATCACAGGAACTTTAGGCTTATATATTACTTGTGCCTTTGTTTAGTCTTAATCTCAGGATTGGAAAGGCACTGAATGCTCATTTATCTTTTACTCACTCTCTACTCCCTTCTAAAACAGCACTGATAAATAAGTCAGTCTTTGCTTGAACACTTCTAGAGAATGGTAACAATGTAGTTCAGTCCATTCTTAGCCCTCTACTAGAAAATAGTCATTGTGAAAACTATATTCTTAGAGTTTACATCTTTCAGATCTAGTATTACCCATAAAGCCATACTGAACAAGAGTATAAATCCCTCTTTCGTGCCATATAAATTGAGATACTCAAAGATTGCCATTATGTCATCACTTGGTCATCTTTTCTTCTGTTGACTAAAAGCTTTGGTATAGCATGCTTTTAAGTCTACAATCATGCTACCTAATTATTTTGTTGTTGTTAATCCTCACCTGAGGATATTTTTTTCCATTGATTTTTAGAGAAAGTGAAAAGGAGGGAAGGAGGAGAGCAGAGATAGAGAGAAACCTTGATGTGAGAGAAACACATCAATTGGTTGCCTCCCGCATGTGTCCCAACCAGAGTCAGGGATCAAACCCACAACTCAGGTACACACCCTTGACTGGGAATCGAACCCATGACCCTTTGGTATGTAGGCCAACTCTAACCACTGTGCCACACAGGCCAGGGCATGATACCTAATTTTGGGTGCATTTTGTTGGTGATGGTTCTCTTCAACGTGTAATTCTCAGAACTTAATGTGTACCCTATATATGAGCTGTCCAGCTTTGAGGTTATTAGTACTCTCTCCCTTTCATACTGACAGTTTATTCTTAACTTAGTATGACTTAATACAGCATTGCCTTTTGGGGTAGCCGTATCTTTCTTACACTCAATGAGGTCATTAAAACCACACAAAAAATTTTTTTAAATGCTACTGTTAAATTATATTTTTATACTTTGTCTTTTGGCACATAGGATATTTTTTTCTCTCTTTAATTTCACTCTTTAATAAGATTTAATCTGTCTCTATAATTTGTCAAAATCCTTTTAAATCTTGATTTTATTCAAGATTTAATACTTTGTTATTCAAGGTATTTTCCTTTGTTTCCTCTAATTATTAGACTTATTAGTGTACATTCTGTTAGCATCCAGGTCCTTGATAATAATCATGAAAAGATAGATCATGTCCAGAAAACCTAGCCCCTGGGATACTTACAGAAATCTTCCTGCTTGCTTTCAGTCCTTTAACCAACTTTTTGTTGATGTTGTTATTGTTTTATCAAACACAACTATTTTTCCTTATGTGTTCTCATTTTTGTAAGGATTTGGTGAAAAACGATATTTGGCTAGAGATCTATTAAGTTAAACTGTTTATATTGAGGTTAGTCTGACCTAATTTATTTTCAAATGAACTTTTTATTTTAGACTTATAAAAAAAATTATGAAGAGTTCACACAACCAGTTTCCCTACTATTAATGTCTTACATTATTATGATATGCTTGTCAGAATTAAACCAATATTGATACTTTGTTATTAATTAAAGTCCATACTTTATTCAGATTTTCTTAGTTTTTACCTGTTGTCCCTTTTCTGTTCCAGGATCCCGTCCAGGATTCTACATTACATTTAGTCATCATGTCTTGTTAGGCTCCTCTTGGCTGTGACAATTTTTCAGACTTTCCTTGTTTTTGATGGCACTGACAGTTTTGAGGAATACTGGTCAGGTATTTTGTAGAATGTCCCTCAACTGGGATTTGTCTGATGTTGCTCTCA